CCGCGGGCTGCCATCCGCGAACATGCGCACGCGGGAGCAAAGCAACTCCTCGGCACGAGACGACATGCACTACGCCATGCGCACAGCATCCAATCGATTCCGTGCAAGCCGAAAAGCAATCCGAGATGCGGCTTAACATTCGCTCACCATGCACTGCGCTTCATCGCGGCCATGCTGCGACGACATCTTTCTCTATGCAAGCTTGCCCTTCTTCGCGAAATGCAAGCTCTTGAGATGCTGAGTTGCGCCCAAGAATGCAACGGTGGCAGCCGCTTGGAGCCCAGCGATCATGGGGGGCCCTTTCGGTCTTGCTGGCGCGCACAACTGAGGGGCGTTGACGTCCGCGCGCCCTGGCTCATCGACCTCAAAGCAACACCTGAAATGTGTTGCTGTCTTTGCATATGGGCCCGGTGGCAGACTATGCTTCCGCCACCCCGGGAGCGGCTTCAATGGGGCAACTTTCAGCGCCGCCAATGTGTAATTGATCTGCTTGGCATACTCTTCTGACGTCATAACTGCGCAGATCGGTGCGTCACCCGCCGCACTTCGCTTGCCCACAGTCGAACGAGCTCCTGACAAGCGAGGTCTGGCCGCCTGTCGCGCGTGCCAACCATGTCCACGCATCGCGCGGATTTGATTGCCCCGCACGCGCCAACGTTGCCGAGGGCAAGATGTCCTGGACATCTGAGTACTGATGCATGAGTTAGACGGCGCGCCGCGGCACCCAATATTGAATCTATATTCTCACCAGAGCAACGCGTGAACAATAATTGAACTTGATCGCGGATAGGAACAGCATCATGTTCGTGGGCCCCCCAATGTTCGAACCCGATGCTGCGCGCGACCCGACCGTCAAAACGCGAGGTTCCTCCGAAACTGAAGACCAGAGGCGTGAATTCGCACTGCATATGTTCCAAACGCACACGCCGCCGACAAACATCTATCACTTTGACTGTCCTGCCACGTTTCCGATCACGACGCGCAGGAGACAGCGCATCATCATGGTCGACCCCATGGCTGCCTGGAAGATTTGCGGGACTCGGCGGCGAACTGTCGCGGTCGGTCCCGAGCACGCGGGAGTGTGAAACCTCGCTGGGCCCAAACGGCTACGCAATGCTTCTCACGCGGGGGTGCGATGCGACGCAATGCAATGAGAACCCCACTGCGCCTTGCAATGCAAGCCGACATGGAGGCTAACTATGCTATGCGATGGGAAGTGGTACGGAGCAGCATGAAGCAATGCAATGCGAACGCAATGCAAGGCCGCCAAACGCTTGATGCAACGCAAGGCGAGACACTCCCGCTGGAGTAAGCAACTGCGCGATACGCAAAGAGCCCACATGCGTTTGTGAATTTTCACCCGGCAAACTGTCTGACGATAGATCCGCCGACCCTTTGGGGTCACTGCGGTTGTGAAGCATCTATCTTCTAGCCCGTGAGGCGCGCGCAACCCGACCCCCTATGGAACGGTTAAAGGTCTCTGTTTGACTCGCCCCCCCGTCGCCGTCCGCCCGCGCCTCTTCAACTGCCGACCAAGAACAACTGAAACGACGCACTGTATGTGTGAAGGGTGCCACCTGCCCATCCCCCGACTAACATTCATGTACCGTACCTACCATAATTCATGTAAACGCATCACGGAGTTTGACGAACATGGGGTTTACTAGAACCTCGGCGCAAACCCGCGTTCAACATTCTCTTCTGCCCTACCCCTCGCGTAAAAACCAAGCAGCACGCGAATCACGCAATGGTTGCATGCTCATTACTTGCGACACTTCGATTCGGCAGCCTCGTGCATTTCGGTGGGGGGATGCCATGAGTTGCTCCAACATACGATGTAGCATTACCCTTTTCGTTATTCGCAAGTGGCGTTGGTAGTTGCAGGGCTCAAGATGGATTTGCAGGGCCCCGACGAGCAGGTTCGGGGGTGGATGTTGCACTCGTGCTTTGGGCTTGGGGAACTGAGTAGCCTTTTCGTGTGAGCTTGTTCAACGTACAGGGAGGTTGACACAAAAGCAAGAAAAAAAACTAACAACAAGGAATTATAACTTCTAGGGTGTCGCGTAGAGATCGCAGCCCCGAAGCAAGGCAAGGAAAAAACTATGAATTTAAAACACAAGCCGGACCCGCGACGCGGCATGAAACAAACCAAGGGACGCCCTGGAACAGCAGTGGGGAGATCTGGGGTAAGATCTGTCGGGAGATCTGGGGAGTGTCCAATAGAAGATTTGGCGCGGTTGCAAAACGATACATCTGGAAGAATATTTGGCGGAAGATCTGGGGGAGGTCTGAGGGAACATCTCGGATATAACATTTTGCGGCAAGTCTGGAGGAAGATCTGGAGGGACATCTGAGGGAAGATCTGGGCGAAAATCTGGGGAATGTGCTGAGGGAGATTTAGTGGTGTAGTGCGTCGTGAATATGCAGCAAAATTCGCGGGGAGATCTCGGGAAGATCTGAGGAAGAAAAGATAGGGAACTATACGGGGGAAGATCTGGGCGAGGATCTGGAGGGCGATCTGGAGGAAGATCTGGGGGAAGATCTGAATCAATATCTGGGTGAACATATGGGGGGAACGTTGAAAAAGCTCTGCGGGACAACATCGGGAAAGATTAGAGGAAAGATCTGGGCGACGATTTGGAGGAAGATCTGGGGGAAGATCTGGCGGACGATCTTGGGAAACATCGGGGAGAGATTTGGGGCAAGATCTGGGAGAAAATCTGGTGTAATATCTGGTGGAAGATCTGGGCGCAGATCTAGAGGAACATCTGGAGGAATATCTGGGGGAAGATCTGGAGGAAGATCTGGGGTAAGATCTGGGGAAAGATTTAGGGAAAGATCTGGTGGAAGATCTGGGGGGAGATCAGGGGGAAGATCTGGGGGAAGATCTGGGGAAAGATCTGGGGTAAGATTTGGGGCAAGATCTGGAGGAAGTTCTGGGGGAAGATTTGGGGTAAGATCTGGGGAAAGGTCTGGGGGAAAACGCTGGGGAAGAATCCGGGGGACGATCTGGAGGAAGATCCGCTGGAAAACCTGGGGAAGATCTGGGGGAACTCTGAAGAAGAACGCGCGGGAAAGATCTGGAACAAAATCCGAAGAGCGATCTGGGGAAAATCTGGAACAACATCTCGGCCAAAATCCGCTCGAGATGGGTCCGCGGACACCTCCCGGGGTCGCAGCGCGCCAGATTTTCCCGCACACGAAGGCCAGAAGGCCTCGAACCTCGATCCCCCAGATTTTCCCCCCAGATCTGGGGGGAAAATCTGGGGGAAGATCTAGGGGAAGATCTGGAAGAAGATCAGGGGAAAAATCCGGAGGAAAATCTGGGGGAAGATCTGGGGGAAGATCTGGTGGGAGATCTGCGCGGCGATCTGGAAGATGACCTGGGGGAAGATCTGGGGGGAAGATCTGGGGGAAGATCTGGGAAAATCTGGGCGAAGACATCTAAGCGATGATCTAGAGGAACATCTGGAGGAATATCAGGGGGGAGATCTGGAGGAAGATCTGGGGAAGATCTGTGGAAATATTTAGGGAAATATCTGCTGGAATATCTGGGAGGAGATTTGGGGGAAGATCTGGGGGGAGATCTGGGGGGAGATCCGGGCGAGGATCTGAGCGAAGTTCTGGGTGAAGATCTAGGAGGGGATTTGGGCGAAGATCTGGGTGAAGATCGGGAGGGGGATTTTTGGGGGAAAGGGGGAGAAGATCTTAATAACGGTCTGGAGGAGGACCTCAATATCTGCGTGACGATCTGGAAGGAAATCTGGGTGAAGAGCTGCAAGGAGATCTTGGCAACCATCTGGAGGAAAAGCTGGGTGAAGATCTGGAGGACAATCTGGAGGAAAATCTGGGGGAAGATAACTGTGATCATTTTTTAAACTAAGTTTTCGAATATCACTCGCGCGATGACGGTAGGGCATGCAACAAAACAAGGAATTTAAAACATAGTATTTTAGAGTAAGCCCGCGAGACTGAGCCTGGGCATGCCGTCCTTGTTTGTTTGTTGAACTCTCTGTACGACGGCGCCTGCACCCGCGTCAAGATGCGCACGCGATGTCTGCGCCCTTTCATGTGACACGGCTTTGGCGCCTGCGCCGCTTCATGAGCAGCGCCTGCGCAGACAAGAGCGTACGCAGGCGGTGCCTGCGCCAGAGCAGCGGTGCGCTGGCGATACCTGCGCCGCATTGTATGCAGAGCCTGCTGCGCTGGCGTTTTGCCATGGTCAGTGCCGGTGCAGACATCAACATGCCTCAGGCGCCTGCTGAAGCGCGTCGGCGCACAGGCAGCCCCTGAACCCCAGTGTTTCGCGCGCCTGCGTTGCTTGCGACTTGCCATGCGCAGCAGTGCCCACGCAACGAAGAAAACAGTGAATGTGGTGCCTGCGTTTTCGCGGAGCCCGGACTCAGCGGCGCGTTTCCGATCTTTTGTTGCAGCCGGCTTTAGCTATTGCACTGTGGACATCAGTATTGGGCCCAAATCGCTTCGGATGGATCGCCTGGACGCGACGATGCCGTCGACCACGATTGCGGCGACGGTAATGACGCAACTCTCGTGGAGATGATGCGCGATTCCTACCCTGCACCCCGTCACCATGCCTCGTCGGGCTCAAAGGGTGGAATGGGAACACGCCTGTAAAAGGATGCCGAGGCTGCATAGCTAGGCTTCCGCCCCTTCGCATATTAGCGCCCACTTGCTTGCTTGACGGCCCCAAATCGGCAAAGACAACCCCACGATGGCAATGACGGCCTCACGAGGGCCCAAAGTCGGCTGCGAGATCGCCCCGAATCTGGCATCAAGAGCCCAGCCCGAGATCCTACGACAGTACTCTACCCATGAACGCTGCCGTTGCAGCTCCAGCTGCCGAAGGCGGGAACGGTTTTGAGCAGGGGGCGGGCGAGAGCGCGACGGGCGTAACCCCTCCCTCCCCGGCTTGCCAGGGCCGCGCCTCGGACCACCGCCCGCAGTAAGACGCCACGCGCCAACCCGAGGCAGCAGCTGCCTCAGTGTCCGCCGCAGAGGCCCGCGAGCACGCGCCGCGGGCCGCGCTGGGCCGGGGACGCGCCGGCGAGCGCCTTGCACAGGCGGCGCGGGCGGGGCGACAGGGCTGAGGAGAGGAGGCCTCAAAAACTGGGGTCCGAGCAGCTGGGGTCAGAGGGTCGCGCCGCATCGCCGATGCATCGCCGGCGCCGATGCGGCTCGATGTGATGCTCGATCTTCTCCACGCCGACGTCGCCGATACATCGCCGTCGTTCGTCGCCGATGCATTAGCGAGGGGGGAGAGGGCGGGGGGGCAGGGCGGAGGAGGGAGGGATGGACGGAGGGATGAGCGAGCAGGAAGGGATGAGGCACCCTGCCGTCCTCGTTAGGAGGCAATTTCTGGGAGGTCTTCGTAATAATGGTTAATGGCTTGTCAACCCCATTAACGGGCCACTTGAGCTGAATTAGCCTGGGTTAAGACCCGGAAGAAGCTGGATGAAGCGGGATTAAACTGAACTAGGCGGGACGGATACATCAGCACAAATGTTGCATTTAACCTCCCAGAAGTTCAACTTCTTGAACCGAACCGAACCGAACCCGTGGGACCGAACCGCGCGGAAACCACAACCAAACCGAACCGGCGGCAGACCCAAGCCGAACCGGCCGAAACCGAACCGACATCAAAACCGAACTGGCCAAGTAAAATCGAACCGGCCGCAGAAGGGGACCGAACCGAATCGAGCCGCTCCTTCCGTGAAGCTGCACACTAAGGAGGGAAGGAGGAGGAACTGCTAAGGACTCCAAATGCGCACGGACAATGCCTGGTAGTCCTGGCCTCAGGCCCCCAAAGCAGCACCGTGCGGTCTCAGCACCCTGGCGCCGCCTCCGGTGAGCGAGCAACGACATGTGTACATGTACGCTCTCCGCGGTCTTGCGTGCACGAACCTCCGCGTTCAAACGCAACTCGGCGGAAACAAACCGCGTACATGTACATATGTTGTTGCTCTCTGATCCGGTGGCGCCCATGGGGCGCTCCGCGCCCCAGGTGTAGGACGATTGGACTGACCGGGGATGCTCGGGGGGCCTGACGAGGCCAGCTTGGACCACCTCCAGGGGCGGTCTGCGCGCAGCCCGAAGCATTTACCATCCTCTCTTGCCTTGAAACAGGATGGCGACGGACAAATGTAGGAAGGCACCAACTATAAACCAACACCGATCCTGGCCCAGGATCACCCTGGGCCCAGGATCGGTGCATACGCCCTCCTGCCTTGCGCAATAAGGCATATACACCGATCCTGGGCCCAGGGTGATCCTGGGCCAGGATCGGTGTTGGTGTATAGTTGGTGCCCTCCGAAAATGTTTGGCAACCTTTCGCCTCCGGGTGCCCTCGGCAGCCCCAGGACCGCGTTCGCAGAACGGCTCGGGATGAGAAGCCAGTCCTGGGGAAGGGGTCCGGACATCAGAGGGCCCATGCTATGAGCAACAAAAAGGAAGTCGGGTGTCTCTGGGGGCAGCCGAGCGAGGGTTTTGGGACTCTAGGGTTCCGGGTCGGTCTTGAGCGCACCCGCGACTGGGAACGCGGTCCAGGCAGGAAGGAACAAACAAAACAGACAGCCACCAGCGCCGACGACGACGATGCCGATGCCGACGAAGCTGATGACGACGAAGCTGATGACGACGACACGACAGACGGGACGCACGAGGCAGAACGAGGAGGAAGAAGGAAGGAGGACTAGCAGTATGGAGGAGGACCATGAGGAGGGAGGAGGGAGGAGGGAGGAAGGGAGGGAGGGAGGAGGGAGGGAGGGAGGGAGGGAGGGAAGGGAGGGAGGGAGGGAGGGAGGGAGGGAGGAAGGAGGAGGAGAAGGAATTGAACACTTGGGAAGACAAGGGCAACGCTGTCCAGCAACGGAAAGTGGTGGTGGTGGATTAGGGAGTAGAAGTGGAGGGAAAAGGAGGAGAGATTTCTTATTGATCTTGAAGAGGCGGAGGGAGGAGGGAGGAGTTCAGGAGATAGGGAGGGAAGAGCAGGGAGGAGCGAAGGAGGGAGGATATATTTTCTCTCGAGGGCCTGGAGGCAGAACGTCACGGCTGAACAAAATCATGTAAGCCGGTGACAGCGACAGCCGCCAATGACAGACGCAGATGGGTATTCGAGGCCGACGGCGGCGGCCAGGACGGCCACGACCACGACGAAGGCGATGACGAAGAAGTCGACAAAGTCGATGAGGCCTCCGACAACGGCGATCGCGGCGACGACAACCACGACGGCCACGACGCCCAGGCCGACGGCGACAACGACGAGGTAAGCAACGACGACGACGACGCCGACCACGACTAAAGCGGAATAATCAAAGACATCAACATCTGGGCGTCTCACAACTGTGCAGTGCTGGACCCCGCGGAGACCTCCGAAGCCGCACAAGGGCCTCACCGCAGTGCCCGCCACCACACTGCTTTGGGACCCATGGAGGTCCTAGACGCCAAAGACGTCCTCGGAGACGACCCGAGCCCATAGACTATGCGGCGACCCAGGCTCCCCACCGACTCACCACACGGTGTGGTCACCATCTCCCAATTGTGCGGCCCCCGAAAAACAGATCGGCTTCGGGAGGCCCTCTTCCTCCTCCTCCTCCTCCTCCTCCTCGTCCTCCTCCTCCTCCTCTTTCTCCCCCTCCTACTTCCTCCTACCTCCTCCTCCTCCTCCTCCTCCTCCTCCTCCTCCTCCTCCTCCTCCTCCGCGCGGACTTCTTGCATCGGCGCCGCGTCCCTCCCCCTCCTCGGGAGGCGCGGAGGGCGCCACGCCAGCTGGGCACTTCGCGGGAAGGCGCCGCCGCCACGGGGGCGAAGGGGGGCCCAGGGCTCCGCAGCGCCGAGGACCGCCGCGCGGCCAGCTCCGAGAGTGTGGGTCTGTGCGGCTGCTCGTCTTCTGCTGAAGGGGGTCCAGGAACACACACACACACACACACACACACACACACACACACACACACACACACACACACACACACACACACACACACACACACACAAATACACACAAATCCCATGATCCCCCATATTTCCCTGCATTTTCAGGGTTTTCGTCTTCCCCCCCTCTTCCCGTACTTTCCCATGTTTTCCTGGAAATCCACGATTCATTGTGTCTGCGTGTTGTTTCCCCTCCCGATCTTCACTCGTACAGTGCACCTGTACCCATCGGTCGGAATAACTTGGTAGAAACATATGAAGTGGGAAGGCGCTGAAAGCAGACTGGGTCTCCGCCCGCCCCCTAGAGGAGGACGAAACATGGGACACCACGCGATCCTTGAAGCAGGAAGGCGCTCAAAGTAGACTGGAAGAAGGGAAACCAGAAATGCAGACTTTCAACGACCGATGGGTAAGGATGCACGGAAAGGATGCAAGTGCCTCGGAGGGCCCTGTGAACGTCTCTCAAACGGGGTTGGCCGGCGAAAGTCTCTGAGGATGGGCAGAAGGGGCAAGGATGCAAGGTACCCTTGGGAAGGTTGCTCATGCTGACTGTGCGGGTTAATAATACAGTAGGAGCTCGACCACACGAAACCTTCCACAAGAAACCCGACCCTGCGACCCCAAGACGTCCACCGATTTTCTAGCGTGCGGACGCCACGCCTTCCGTAGCAGAACCATCGAAACCCAAGAAACCCAAGAAACCCAGGGCAACCTGGAGGCAAGAAGGGTGTTTCTTGGCATGGGCCCCAACTGTTGTCGGCCTCGTCGCACGACCTCGGCACGACCTGGGCCCCAACTGTTGTCGACCTCGGGGTCTCTTTCGATGATGTCGTTCTGCATTCTTCTTCGTGGTGTCGGCGACGACTCCTTCGCGTGCTCACGCAGACTTCTGTGTGTGTGTGTGAGCGACGGGCCACCTCATGGAAGCATGTGCTGTGAGATAATAGGTTAGCCAATGTGGCCCTCAAACGGTGGTTCCTTGCAGTCTATGCGGCGCAATGTGGGCGTAGTGTCACGAACGTGGTGCGATCTCGGTGGAGCAATTCATGTGGAGCAATCCATGTGGTGCAACCGGTGGAGCTGTGCAAAGCCATGCAAAGTCATGCAAAGCCATGCAGAGCAGTACGAAGCAAAATGAAGCCATGCAACGCAATGCAAAGCCATGCCACGCCATGCAAAGCAGTGCAAAATCATGCAAGGCAGCGCCAACCAGTGCAAAGCAAAAGAAAGCAGGGCAGTCAATGAAACAAAAAGCAACGCAATCCAAAACAAACCACACAACGAAAAGCAACGCGGCGCCCGCGGCGCCGACGAATAGCGGCGAGGCGCGACAACAGGTCGGTCCCGAGCCTGTCAGATCCGAGCGACGACCTGTCGGCCACAAGCCGGCCAGACCGCCACCGCGGCCCGATTACAATCTGCGACGGTGGTTGCGACGGGCGGCTCGGGGATCTACGTTTAGGTCGGGCATGTCCTCCTACAGGCGGATTTTGGGCGAAAAATCAAACATACTCAATCAATGCTACCAAACATAATCAACAAAAACGCCCCCAGACTATGTTTCTACCAATTTTGAATATTACTCCTGTAGAGGGACAGGTCCGACTTAAATCTACGGACTGACCTGGGTCAGTCCCGACCCGGGCCAGTCAGGCCTTGCAGGATCCTGCAAGATACGGCAGTGGCCTGCAGGAGCCTGCACCCGAGCCTGGGTCAATGCAGCCCTGGCTCTGCAGGATCCTGCAAGATCCGACGCTCTGATTGACTCCCGTTTGCAGTGGCCTCCGTCGCTTGAGTCCCGAACGGCGACGGGCGGCAACAGTGCGGCCAGACCGCCACGGGAGCTCAGTCACCTTGGAAGCGACGTAAGAACGCCGAAATGCAAGCACTGCTTGGGAAATTTGCCCATGCGAAGAATCAGCTGCGATGAAAAAAGATTTGGTGATGCGAGTGCGGCCCGAAAACGAGGAAGATCTCAGGAATCGGGCATCGTTCCCTGACCTCCAAGAGGCTGCCCCCGACTAGCAGGCGAAGGAAACGACCACCACGAGGCCCACAGAGGACTCTGAGATCCGACGTCGAGAAAGAAATGCAATGTCTCGCGACAAAAACAGAATCAGAGCCCCGGACCACATTTTTCTGCATAGTTCTTCGAGCCTGATCGACATGCGAGGGTCGCGGGGCTCGAATCTGGGCGAAAACGCCTGGCTCGAAAAACCAGCCGCCTCGCTCTTGAGCCTGCTTACCTGGAGATCCAAGCATTTTTTCTTGCATGGCGTTCGCCCCCACCCCCCCCCTCGCCCTCTTCAATCGAATACGAGCGTACAAGTGCCTTTCCACTTGCGTGATTTCCGCACGTCGAGTTGTTTTCGGCTTGCTGCAGGCTTGCCTGGATCGAAAGAAAAATAACCTCCTTTCTTGAGCCACTCGATTCACTCCTGCGTCGATGCCGCGTCGAACGCCCGTCGAGCCTGAGTCGCACTTGAGTCGAGCTAGAGTCACTTGAACAGATGCGTTAGGTGGCCTCTGGAACAGACATCCAAGAACAGACTGCGACGCCCAGACATCACAGGGCACGACGGGGCCCACCGACGACGGCGACGCCCAGCGACGCCCGACGACAGCAGCGACGATCACGACGAGGCCGACGGCGACAAAGATGACGACGAGCACGACGACCACGACAACCACGACCACGACGACGACGACATCCAACGACGACGACGACAACAGCGACGATCACGACGAGGCCGACGGCGACAACGACGAAAACGGTTATTCTTCATCATCCATCGGCACACATTGAAACAAAACCTAAGTAGCTGAAACTGCCCATGAACGACACATGCAGCTGTCGTCTCATACACTGGAGTCTCCCGTCGCAGGGAGCTGTGCCCCTACACTTGCCATGTGCGCGCGTGCAGGCCTAAAATGCTCAAGCAGGCGACGACAACGAACCTCACGACGACGCCGACGACGACGACCGCGACGGCGACGGCGGCGGCAACGACGACGACGACCACGACGACGATAGCGGCGGCGGCGACTAGAAAAAGAAAAAACGCCATTCACATAAGCTTGTTGGCGCACCGCTCGGATTTCTTGGATCTGCGCTGGGCCCCCTCCCTGGCGCGCGGAAGGGTCGCGCCAGAGGCGCAGCCGGGGGGGGCCCCGCGCGGATCCAAATAATCCGCTCGGAGCGCCAAAAGTTGATGATTATGCAGTTGTTCCTTCCCCGAGCGACGGCGACGGCGACGACGACGACGATCGCGGCGGCGGCGACGGCGGCGACGACGACGACCACGACATCAACGACCACGACGACCACGGCGACAACGTCGACGGCCATGACGACGACGACGACGACGACGACCACGACGGCCACGACCACGACGACGCCGACCACGACGACCACGACGACGCCGATTACGACGACGACGACGACGACAGCGGCGACGGCCTCGCACGCCGGGCGGCAGCGCCCCGGGCCCTCCGCGCCGCGGGCGGGCGAGGGCTCCACCCGCCTGGCCCCTTCGGCGCCTCTGCGCCCCTTCGGCGCCTCTGCGGCGGCCAAGCAGGGCGCCGCCGCCACCAGGTCGTCGGCTTCGTGGTCGTCGTCGTCGTCGTCGTCGTGGTCGTGGTCGTGGTCGTCGTCGTCGTCGTCGTCGTCGTGGTCGTCGTGGTCGTCGTCGTCGTCGTCGTGGTCGTCGTCGTCGTCGTGGTCGTCGTCGTGGTCGTCGTCGTGGTCGTCGTCGTGGTCGTGATCGTGGTCGTCGTCGTGGTCGTGGTCGTGGTCGTGGTCGTCGTGGTCGTGGTAGTGGTCGTCGTCGTCGTCGTGGTCGTCGTCGTCGTCGTCGTGGTCGTCGTGGTCGTGGTCGTGGTAGTCGTCGTCGTCGTCATCGTCGCCGTCGTCGTTTTCGTCGACCTCGGCCTCGTCGTCGTCGCGTTGCCGCTCGCCCTTTGCTCGATGGCCCTGAGATCTGGACGCTGCAATGTTGCCGCGCTGGGCGTCTTCACCCGGCTTCGGGCCCTGGGACCCTCACAGATCGATCCGGCTCGAGACGTGGCGCAGAGAGCTGGGGTCTCATTGGCCTCCGGTCGTGAATTCTCGCAACGTTGCAGTGCTTTCGCATCGTCGGACCTCGGAGTTCTCCGACGTCGTTTTTCCCAGCCGTTGTTTCCGACATCACGCTTGTTCAATCCCGACGATTTTTTTCCTAACTTCGGCTCTTAGAGGGCCGTTCTGAGTCCCACAGGGGGCATCAGAAACGGGTCCAGGGTCCAACTTTGGCCTTGATCACCAGAAATAATTTCGAGCACCAAGGGTACCAAAATTGAAGGGTTTTCACGTGTCGGGCCCTGGGAGGCGATACTCGTTGGACACTGTCTCGATACTTTTCTGGCTGCTCGAAATTATTTTTGGGATGTGCTCCCTGAGTACGATGGGAGCAACATGATACCGGAGAAGAAACCCAATCAACGTATTTTTAGGGCTATAAGGCTATGGGGCTATGGGCTATAGGACTATAGGGCCATAGGGCCTCAGGGCTATAGGACCGTAGGGCTATATGGCCATGGGGCTACTGGGCTCTGGGGCTATGGGGCTTAGAGCATTAGGGCCATAGGGCTATGAGTCTATAGGGCTATGGGGCTATAGGACCATAGGGCTATGGGGCTATAGAGCTATAGGCATATAGAGCTATAGGGCTATAGGGCTATAAGGCTTAAGGGCTATAGGGCAATAGGAATGTGGGGCTATAGGGCTATAGGGCTATTGGGCTCTAGGGCTATGGGGCGAGATGGCCATTGGGCTACAGAGCTATAGGGCTGTAGGGCATAGGTCTATAGGATTACAGGGCTATCGAGCTATAGAGCTTTAGGGCCCCAGGAATATAAGGCTATAAGCTATTGGTTCATAGGGCTATAGGGCTACTGGGCTAGGGCTATGGGGCTATAGGGCTGACAGGTTACAGGGCTAGGACTATAGGGCTATAAGGCAAGATGTCAAGAAAGGCACCCGGGCACGCCGCGGAAATCGGTGAAAAACCTCACCCAACCATTTGAATTCGCTAGGACCCCTACAGAGGCAAGCTCGGATTGGGGAATAAGTCCAGGGTGGAAAGAAAAGACCGCCCCGAGGAAGCGGTCGAAGCCTCTGCAGAGGGCCCAGGCAATGGTAATTAGGGGTACCTTTTCCTCCTCTGAGCGACCCACGTCGTTCGTGCCGAGACTCGTGATCGTCGCCGCCGTCGCTGCTGCCGGCGGCGTCGCGCCGAGCGGACCGCGGTGGTACGCCACACGGGGGCAGCGTGGGGCCCTGCCAGCGGCCCCGGGGCTGCCGGGCAGGCAGCGCAGTCAAGGACATCAAACGGGCACTTTCTGTAGTGTAGCCCCGGCGGGCCTCGGCCACGCGCAGTGCCCCCCCCAGCCTGCATCCGAGCGACGATCAAAAATAAGTCTTTCGTCTTCGATGCACCAACGAAGAGAAATCGTGCAGTACCGTTTTGTCTGAATAAAGCACACCAAGTCTGACAAGTGTTTAGCTGTAGCGAGATGATGTAGAGATCTTGCGCGGTGGCTTGCGCGGGCCGCCCGCGCGGCACGCCACGTTTGAAGCAATGGCGCTTACGCGCGACCGTAGGCCCGAGGCGGGTAGCTTACGCGCCATTGCGGGCGCAGACGACACTGTTTCTTTGCGACGCTCATCTGAGGATCGGCCCGAAAACCAAAGGTCCAGATCGCAAAGCAATGCTACTTCGGCGTCGTGGCCGACAGGCCTGAGATCCGACACTGCGGAACCATTGCAAACTTGCGAGAACGCACGGGCACCATCATGTCCCCAGACATGCGACATCCTTATTTTTTCAAATACGTGCTCCCTGGAAGTCCCGAACCTTTCCGCACGACCGGTTCCTCATCCCAAGTCGTTTCTTTACGGTCCCAAGAAGACCCGGCGAGGGCCCCTGGAGGCCGAAAACTGCCAAGAACCTCGCGCCGTAATCTTTTTTACGTCGCAATCATGTATGGGTCTTTGTTGACCCCAGAAACGGCAGGAACGTTTTTTCACCGTTAATGGAAAAAACAAAAAACACGGCGACCGAAAACGGCAAAAAACAGCTCCAGGATTGGAACCCGAGCCGGAACCAGTAACAAAAACGGAGTCGGATTTGGCAACAAAAACGGCGTCGGAACCGCCAACAAAAACGGCAAAACGGGCACGATCACCCTGGGCAGGAAAGCATCGAGTACAGTCGAGGCGTTGACCTGAATAAGGAACGAGGCCACTTTTTTTCCACAAGTTAAACTTCAAAGTCCCCCTCTTGCTTGGGCGACCTGCTTTTGAAGGGGGGAGGCTGGAGGACTGGGGGCGCGAAACCTAAGGTCTGGGTCGTCTAGGTCTGGGCCCACTGAGGTCTGCGTGTCCACCGAGACCTTTCGATAACGAAGTGGGCGGCGCAACGAGGGCCAACGCGGGTCATATCGGCGGACCCGAACGGGGCAAACACACACGCTTGGGCTGGTACACGTCCTGAAGATCGCCGTCCAGGCGCCCATGTCTCGGAAGCATCGCGCCGCCGGATCTCTGCCTTCCCTCTCGCCCGATCTTCAAAGCCTTAGCAGGTCGGGCGAGAGGGAAGGGCAGACCCAGCCCCCCGACCAGAAGAGCTTTTTCACAACGTGCACCCCTGGAGGTTTAGACAATTTCCCTTGACCGCAGAGGCCGTAACTTGTCCAGAACCTCTCACGACGCGAGGGGGTCTGCAGAGGGGGAATAGGAGGAGCAGGAGGCGGGAGAGAGGAAGATTCTGACGCCCGAAATGGGAGCCGAACAAATTGTACGACGTTCAACAGCAAATAATGTCCAAGAGCGATAGCGGCCGCTGTTGGGCATACGATTTTCTGCTTCAAATGGAGAACGCCCGCGGCGACGATGACAACGAGTCCAGCTCAAAATGGACTGGAACTAGTGTCGGTCTTCATCACCACCCTTCCCGTACAATCGGACCTGGGACAGAAGAACATCCCTCAAAAGCGTGAGGCCCTCCGCCAGCTCAAACTGGAGAACGCTCGAGGGTACCCTCCCCCAAGGATGCACAAGAACATCCAGCAAATACGAAAAGCGTCAGGGTACTCTTAGAGGCATCCTAGATGGGGTCGGAGTAGATGGGGTCGGAGGATCGCGCCGCATCGCCGATACATCGGCGATACATCGTCGATGCATCGGCGATGCATCGGCGATGCACCGGCGATGCATCGTCGACGTTGGCGATGCATCGGCGACGTCGACGTGACGCAGATCGGGCTGCACATCGAGCCGCATCGGCGATGCATCGGCGATGCGGCGCGATCCTCCGAACCCATCTACTCCGACCCCATCTAGGAGGCCTAGAACCCTCCCAGAACCGATCTCGATCTTCTGCCTCGGTCCGACTGCACCCCTTTCAGAAACAGGTCTGGCCCGAATCGGTCCGCGAACCCTTCCCCGGGATCCGCCTGGTGCAGCTTCTCACCCTAGATCCATTTTCGATAACCCCACTGCCGGGTGTTGCTACAAGTACCCATGGCCCAAGGTACCTCCAGGATTCTCGGGGTGGCCCAGACGGCCTCCAGGGCACCCCTCACGAGGCCCAGAGTGCCCCCGGGGCAACAACATTGAGCGAAAAACTGGGGGCACCGTGGGCCAGGGGCACTTCTAGCAACACCCGAGAAAAGGGCAATACAGCCGGACCGACCCGACAGAGCGTTCGCAACGCTCTGAGAGCGTTCTGGAACGCTCTGGAATGGATGTACAGTCGACCCGTGAAACAAGGATGCACGAAAGGATGCAAGGGCATTGGGAGGCCGTTCCGAAGCTTTTCCAGCGGGGCGCGGCCAACGAAAGTGGCCAAGGATGGGCCGAGGAGGCAGGGATGCAAGGGCATCCTTGGGAAAATTGCCCCATCCCTACAACGCGGGTTGAATGTATCCTCAGGTTGGGCATGTCCTCCTACAGGCGAATTCTGGATGACAGATATGAGAGAGTGCCAAACGATTGTCCACGATGGTCAGAAGCACACGAAAAATCGCCACCAGTCTATGGTTCAACTTCTCTCGAGTTTCCCATCCTGTAGAGGGACACGCCCGACTCAATCCAAGCCCCGCCCGAGGGGAGGCGAGGCGCGCGACGCAAAAACCGGACGCGGCCACACGCTGAGGGGCCACGATCCCAGGCTCGGCCCGGCGGGGAGCGATGGGGGGGGAGCCCTCGCGCCCGGCAGCGCACTGCGAGGCCTGCCAAATGGCGCCCGAGTGGTCGGAGGATCGCGCCGCATCGTGGATGCATCACCGATGCCTCGGCGATGTCTCCGCGACATGGGCGGTGCGTCGGCGACGTTGGCGTGGAACAAAAATGGGGCCCCACACCGACCCGCAACCTCAGCCGCGCTGGGCAACCTACACCACCTGAGGCGGGGATGGGTACCGTCTCCTTCGGGCTTCTTGGAGCACCCATCCCCGCCTATGGAGGGGGTGCGCTGGGAAAGCCAACTTCCCCTGCCCCAGTGGGGGTGGGAATGGTTCCGACGATGATGACGTTCGGTGGTGGGCGAGGGGGGGAAGTGAGCAGGAGAAGGCCTTCTCAGAAGGCGGCGGGCCTTCTCGGAAGCCTTTGCGCCTTTTGAGATGTGTTGTGGCTCCGTGGAAGGTTCACACAATTTTTCAGTATCTCAGAAGGCCAGGGGACGCCAGAGCCTTGTGAGACGGCATTCGTCTTCTCGTTTTCCCCACTCGCTCGCCGCCGCGCACGGCAACGCGGTGGCCTCTTCGGAGCCAGGCCTAGCCAGCTGGTGGTCCCCCGCGTCCACGTGCTTGCCAGGCCTGCTGCCACCGCACCCGTTGGGGACGTCCTCGGCGGACCGCGGCGGCGGGGCTCGATGCGGGCAAATGGTCCGCCCGCGCATAGCCGCGGAGTCCGGACTCGCCACCGGGCAAGAGCGCAAGAACGGCGTCAGGCAGGAGGATCTTCGTCTGCCTGCCTCGTCGTCTCCCTCCTCAACGTCCACCTCCTCATCCTCATCCTCCTCCTCCCTCCTCCTCCTTCTCTGAGTATTCTTCTTATTGATACTATTGATATTATTATTATTATTAGAAGTCGTAGTATTAGTATTGTTATTATTGTTGTTACTATTATTCCTCCTCCTCCACCTCCCTTTTCTCCTCCTCCTCCTTCTTCTGCTGCTCCTCTTCCTCCGCCTCCTCCTCCTTGTCTTCCTATTGTGATTATTGCATTATATGAGTGAATCATTCGTATTCGTTGTCTTCTTCATCCTTCTCCTTCTCCAACTCCTCCTCCTCCTCCTCCTCCCTCCTCCTCCTACTCCTCCTCCTCCTCCTCCTACTCATCCTCTTCTTCCCCATCCTCCTCCTCCTCCTCCTTCCCTCGCCCTCGTCCTCGTCCTAGTCCTCCTCCTCCTCCATAATTTTCCTCCTCCTCCTCCTCCCCCTCCTCCTCCTCCTGCTGCTGCTCCTCCTCCTCCTCCTCGTCATCATCATCAGCAGCAGCATCATCATCAGCATCATCATCGTCATCATCATCAGCATCATCATCATCATCAAACTCACCATCGTCTTTCTACTCCTACTCGCCCTTCTCAGTAGTATTATTGAGAGTATACATGCGATGTGTCCTTGAATAAGAACGTTCTATGTGGATGAAGAGTACTAGTATGAGCACGAAAAAGTTTACTAAAAATACCATTATGAATATCTTGGTTTACGAGTCTTAGCCTGTTATCGTTAGCATTTGTAGTAGCATCCTTATTATTGTTGTTATTATAGTTCGTCGTAGTCTTTTCGTTATTCCCCACATGTTTCGTGGGATTACCGCCTCCCTCTCTTCACACACACACACACACGCAGACACGCGCACAGACATCACCTGCGCAGCACAGCACAGCACAGCACAGCAGACCGCAACACAGCACAGGACAGGACAGCACAGCTCAGCAGAGCACAGCACAGCACGCTCCAGTCGTGCAGGCATAGCAGGCGTGGCACTTTTTCGATACCATAGGGGGTGCGCAGGGGGTGGTCTCCCTATCCGCGCCTGTCTTCTAGGGCATAGCAGGAGTGGCACTTTCTCGACACCATAGGGGATGCGCAGGGAGTGGTTTCCCTATCCGGGCCGGTCGTTCAGGGCATAGCAGGCGTGGCACGTTCTCGATATCATAGGGGGTGCGCAAAGAGTGGTCTTTCTATCCGCGCCGGTCGTCCAGGGCATAGCAGGCGTGACACTTTCTCGACATTATAGGGGGTGCGCAAGGGGTGGTCTCTGAGCGCGGCCACTATCCACGACACTGTCGCGAAGCCTTGCAGGCGTAGCAGCTTCACGACACCATAGGGGGTGCGAAGGGGATGGTCTCTGAGCGAGGCCGCAGGGTGCACCAGAGAGCATGGTGGCGTTGGTAGTGGTAGCGCGGTTCACGCTGGACATAAAATAAGTATATAGGGTTTCTCGGTAGCGTAATTTAGAATAAGTGTCATCTGTCAGAATAGTTCTCTTAGTACTCTTCTTCGTGGTAGGGGTATTATTATTATTCTTAGTGATATCGAGATTAGTCTTTTCATTCGTCATCACATTGTTATTTCTAGTATCGGTATTCATAGCCGTATTCTTCTAGTTATTCCTCTATTCCTCCTCCTCCTCCTCCTCTTCCTCCTTCGTCTTCTTAGTATTCCTCTTTTTCCTCCTCCTCCTCCCCTACTTATTCCTCCTGCTCCTCCTCCTCATCCTCCACCTCCTCCTCCGCCTCCCCCTCATCCACAATAACAGCATATGAATATGACTCTCCTGTCTCCCCTGATGACGTGCTGAAAATGCCTGGCCCATCTCCGCGTATTGTTTTTGACACACATGATTCCCGGAAGTTTGGTTTTGGCCATCATCATCAGCAGCAGCATCAGCATCATCAAAATCATCATCATATGTATCCTCTCATTCCCCCTTCTAAAGTTTAGCATTGAGGGTATACATGCGATGATTGCCCTTATAATAGCACGGTTGGTAATATGAATATTCGTTTCGTAAATCATACCAGTATGACGACTAGTAAGTTGACGGAAGTTACAAGTATAAAGGTGTTGGTTTACGAATGTTACTAATACGATTAGCATTCGCATTACTAGTATCATCCGTGTTATGGTTGTTATTCTAGTTAGTCGTATTATTCTCGTTATTTAGTATTAAAGTTATTAGTCTGACTCGTGTTCTTGGTATTCCTCTTCGTGGTAGGGATGTCGTTCTTATTCTTCATACTATCAAGATTCGTCTTCTCATTCGTATTCGCATTTTTATTTCTATTATCAGTATTCGTAGTCGTCTTCGGCTGGTCATTCCTCCATTCCTCCTCATCCTCTTTCTCCTCCTCCGTCTTCTTGGTATTCCTCGTTTTCCTCCTCCCCCTCCTCCTCCTCTTCCTCCTCCTCCCCTACTCTTCCTCCTCCTCCTCCCCCTCCTCCTCTCATCCTCCACCTCCTCCTCCGCCTCCTTCTCCTCCACAATCACACCATATGAATATTACTCGTTTGTCTCCCCTGATGACGTGCTGAAGATGCCTGGCCCATCTCCGCGTAGTGTTTTGTACACACATGATTCCCAAGAATTTGATTTTCGCACTGGTCTCATTGTCGGCCTTCTGTTCGTTCCGAATCGTGCTCCCGCTGCAACGCTGGCCTCATTTCCGTGCTTCCGCTCGTTCCGAATCGTGCTCCCGTTGCAGCGCTTGTCTCATTCTGCGCCTCCGCCCGTTCCGAATCGCGCTCCCGTTGCAGCACTGGCCCCATTCTGCGCTTCCGCTCGTTCCGAATCGTGCTCTCGCTGCAGCGCTGGCGTCATTATTGCCAATGCCATGCCACGGCATGCAAGGCAATGTCATGTGGTGCTCCGCTGTGCGATGCCATGCCCCAACATCTAGAAAATGCCCCCGAAAAAAAACCATCGGAAGTGATTACGTACACATTCGGTCCCGATTCGTTGATTCGTTAGGCCGCAGAAGCCCCCCTCACATTAGGGCGTCGTCGCTCTCAGGAAGTATTCAGCGGGAGCCTCATTTCTGCTCCTGCTCTGATAAGGCGATGCTGAAAGCAGAGCCAGCGGGTGCTATCCATCAGCCCCGCCTTGTGTGGGGCTTTTCGGGGAGTCCAAGGACTCCAAGATCAGACTCCAGACTGGCCAAGACCTCTCGAAGATGATCCGCTTACCCTCCAAGGAGCCCGGCGCCATGCTATGACATGCTGTGCGGTGTTATGTTATTTGCCACTGTGCGATGTCATGATTTGCATTGCAATGCTTTGTGATGCAAGTCTTCATAACGTAACACAACGCCATGATAAAACATGTTACGCTCAGCAAAACGCTTCTACGCCCTGCTACGCCGTGTTCTCGGATGCATCGCACATCATTGCCCTGCTCGACAGCCGACTGTGAAAAGAGGGAAGATCTACCCCACGGTAAGAGATGTGAGGGAGGGGAAGGACGTCAGAAATGACGCGAGCGCACCCAGATTGTCCCCTCCCCCTCTTCCTCCTCCTCCTCCTATTATTATTCTGTTTATTATAATTTATTTTTAATATTATGATTAGTATTATGATTATTATTATTATTATTATTACTATTACTATTCCTCCTCCTCCTCTTCCTCCCCCCCTCCTCCTCCTCATCATCATCCTCCTCCTCCTCCTCCGTCTCCTTCTCCTTCGCCTGCTCCTGCTCCTCCTCCTCCTCCGTTTCCTCCCCCCTCTCCTTCTCATCCTCCCCCTCCTCCTCCATTCCTCCTCCTCCCCCTCGTCCTCCACCACCTCCTCCACCATCTGCTCCTCCTCCTACTCCTCCTGCTCCGCCTCCTCCTTCTCTCCCGTCTCGTCCGCCCCCTTTCTGTCGTCAAGAGCGGCAACGCAGGGTTCAAAGAGGACCAGCACCTCCCCCTGTACGGGAACAGTACCCTGTCCGGGGGGCTCAACGGAGGGTACCGTCCAAGAGGTGGGCTCGCAGATCTTGACTCGAGGTACGTGCGCGACGCTGACGAGGGGGGAAAGAGGAACGCATTGACCGCAAGAGAGGGGGCCATGACATCTGGCGAGGTATCATGGCCCCTGCAATGATACAGCCAGACCCAGGCCAGAAGCACAGCCTCAAAGAGCATGAGACCCTCCGCCGGCCAAAACACACAGAGCGTCCAAGGGTACTCCCCCCAGGATGCACAAGAACCCCCAACAGGCACGAAGAACACTAGGGTACCCTCCCCAAACCGACCTGGATCTTCAACCTCGGCCCGACTGTATCATGGCCACGGCCATGGTATCCACACACACACACACACCCACACACACACACACACACACACACACACACACACACACACACACTAGTCATCCCCCCCCTCCAGCCGCCCCCGACACATGCGCCGCAACATGTGCGGACTCCCTGCGCCCCCCGTCCCAGAACGGTGTGGCGAGGAGTAGTTGGGCCCTCGGAGGCACCGCACCAATATCCTCCTCCTCCTCCTCCTCCTCCTCCTCCTCCTCCTCCTCCTCCTCCTGCTCCTCCTACTCGTCATCCTACCCTCCTCCTGCTCCTGCTCCTTCCTGTCCTCCTCCTCCTCCTCCTCCTCTCCTCTCTTCCTCCTCCTCCTCCTCCTCCTCCTCCTCCTCCTCCTCCTCCTCCTCCTCTTCCTCCTCTCATCCTCTCCGCCCGCCCCCTCCTCCCCCTCCTGCTCCGCCCTCCCCCCCTCCTCCTCCTCCTCCTCTCCTCCCCCGCCCCCTCCTCCGCTCCTCCAGCCCCTCCTCCCCACCTGCTCATCCTCCTCCTCCTCCTCCTCCTCCTCCTCCTCCCTCTCCTTTCCCTCCTCCC